CACTATACAATTCATTATTTGTAGTTATATTTCTTCACTTGTGAAATTATTGCAGTTCTATTCTTTGGAAATTACATTTGAAGCAGTTCTTTTCTTCATAAAGGGGCATGACACAATTCTATATGGTCTTAGTTAACTAGATCAAACTCTGAGATACTCCGCTTGATCATTGATATTAATGCTCAGATTTGACTTCAGACCTAGCCCGCAGTATCCAGAGTCAGCTCAGCCAGTTAGGAGGGTTGGCTTTCCATCTCTGAGGAGAGCAAAGGAGACCTCAAACTGGAGGTCTTCCTCAGTCCTTTCACACCTGACCACTGATGATCTCTTCAGGGAAGTTTTTAAACCCTGTGACCTCTCATGATTCACCTGGACTTGAAACAATTAGCATTTATAAGGTTTGTCCCATGTACAACCCTGTTTTCCAACCACAATTCATCACTGAGGTGAGCTATAAATTCATTCCTGGAAGTAACAACCTTGTAGGCCACATGAGAATGATAAACATATCCATCTTTCGCTGAAGCTCTGAAACTCCTCTCAGAACTAGCAGGGAGGCAGTGGAGATATGCCATGTAGAGGATCGATTCTACCTCCTGACAGAAACCTTTTTTGGTAATTAAACCATGCAATACAAAGACCAGGAGAGATGCATCAGAAATTAATCTCTCTGCTTAACAAAACCAGTAGGAGTTATTAAGATTAGGTTTTAGGACTTAGTTCAAATAATTCTTACAGCATATCAAGATTGTGCAGCTGATATTTTTTTCTGTGAAAGAATTGGTCTTACTAAAGAGGCTATTAGCTAAAACCCACCATCTCAGGGCAGAATCAGATATGGCCTAAGTGAGATTTACTTCTACAGGATGATGAATGTAGTATTTATTGCTCCCACCCACATCCATGGCCAGGTTTGTATTGCTCTCATCTTGTTCTGACTTTATTAATCCAGATTAGGAAAGGAAAGACAGCATATTTTAAATGACCTTGATGGGAGTCTACTAATAACAAGTGAATTAGCAACTTCAATATTAACTAGGGACGTGTACATTTTGATTGAGTAGATAATCTACTGTGCCATGTATTCTCAAGTTAGAAAGGAAAACAGCAGTTTTCTTGATCAAAGTGAATAGTATCTGTTCTTTTTCACTACAAAAAACATTCCTGAAAATATGTGAGAAATCACATTTAAGTGCTGAAGTGTTAAGCCATCTTAGCGTTCAATCAGCCTTGCCCATTTTATTCATTGATGAATTTAAGGACAATGTATTAGCCAGCTATTTGCACTTAGCCCATTCCTCAGAGAAAAGTCTACAGTAAACTCACTTTTAGGCTCATCACTTTCTCCACGGTTTCATGCTGATTTCCTGTGTACACCTATTAGTACAATGCATGTATGTTTATGTACATAAAGGTAGCTCTATACAGTCACTTGAATGGCAGAAGCTTTTAGACTACTTCAGTCATCTTTTATATTTGTGATGTTAATTTTTCAGAAAAGTTGAATGACATGGGTACAAAAATAAAGAAATTAACATTTTGAGTAAAATTGAATATCTGTGTATATTACATACAGATTCTGTGTCTTAGAAACTTGTAAGTGGACATCCACATTATATTTTGATCTTATCTTTAAAATTTCATTGCATTTAAATTTTAATTCAATGATTTATTTCCTGTTCCTTTAAGTTTCCAAATGAGTATAGTCTCTCTTAGTTTCTTGCCAACAAAATTATATCTCTGCTGATGATAACAGTGGGAGAATCCAATAATACCTAAGATAGCCATCTTTCAGAGGTAGCCAGAGTGATAGAACTTGCTAAAAACCAAATGTTTATGTGACTAAAACAACTGCTTCAAGTGAAAGATGTAATTTGTCATATGTGGACACTTGTTTTCTCAGAAGAAAAAGACAGTTACTCCTCAACCACTGTTTCTCATTGCTCCAGAAGAGCTGGATGAGGTAAAACAATGCTTTTTCCGGAGGCTCTTGGATCTTGTAATGCATTTATATTTGTTTCAAATGAAACCAAAGACGCTTACTCTGTCACTTTCCTTACCATGGGTGTGAAGCATGGAGGAGAAGGTATGACTATAAATTCACACTGCCTTTGGGGACTTTCACAGCACCACTGCTGACCAATCTGAATTGTCAATCTTTATTCATGAAAAAGGGTCCTTTGGGGAAAGGATATATCTTTATAGCAGTCTGAGCTATAATGCATATTGGACCTATCTTGATAAATAGGTAGAGTAGGAAAAAACAATTCACAGAGAATCCATTGTAAATTCTATAGTTAGGCTTCATCCTTTATTAGGTAGTGAATAAAAGACAATTGATGTTTACAACTACAATTTAAGAGACCATTTAAACAGAAATGGTTCCATAGCGAAGTGAGGCAGAAGGGATCCAGGTATTTCTGAGTTTTCTCATATGGCTGATGAAGAAAGTATGGCTGATTGTTTGTTCCCAGCAAATCACTAAAGTTAGTAACACCTTATGACCCAGGACTCTGTATCCACAGGCCCTGACTTCTACCAGACTGGCTCATTCACATTGGTGAAAATGGGAAGGACAACAAAAGCACACTGCATCAGTTAACATCAAGTTCTTCAACAGAAAAAGAGACTTCATCAGATGCAGAGCAGGTATATATGGATGAATATAGTAAAAGAGCAAAACATTTCATACTGTAAGAAAAGGAAGGAAAATTCAAGATGGTCAAATGGCATGGACACAGAGCCTAGAGTAACAAACTCATATTCACCTGACTGGACTAGCTAGCAGGATCTGTAGGGAAACCAAAAAAAAAAAAAAAAAAAAAAGGGAGTTGGAGGAAGAAAGAAATGGAAAACAAAAGGAAAGAAAAGAAAATGAAGGCAGATAGACTTGCTCAGATAGCAGGGACACTGGAAAACACACAATCACCAGATATAGTACTTTCAGAAGCAGATATTAATGCTAGCCAATTTGTGTAATGAAGGCATGGCTTGAGTTCTTCTTACTAGAAAATTGTTGAAAAATATTTTCGTATTCTCTCTCCTGCCCTGTTCCTTTCTTCCTTCCTTCTTTGCTCTTTTCTTTTTTGCTTGTTTCTGTTTTGTTTTGGCTGTTTGACAAAAATATAGAAAGCCAACCACCTTCAACATACATTGGCATGAAAAACTTCTACAGCTAGAACGTGGAGGAGTACTCCAAAGACCATGTTTAATGTTGAGCACCAAGCACGCTATGGATGTTTCTTAAATATAAAAGGACAAATGCTAAATATGCATCTCTTCAATGGTTTTGCCTTGATTCCTTATACCTCTTTGCAGGTCACCATAGTTTAGATAAGAGCAATTTCAGGAAGGCTATGCCCAGCCCTTCCCTACAATTTTAAATAGCCTTTACAAAACCTTTTCAAAAAATAATTTTTCTCTAAACCTAAGTCACATAGGATTGACTTGTATATTATTTTTACTTGCTTTATATTTGAGTATTGTTGTTCTTAATAATGCAACAGACTGGCTGTATCAAACCCCATCATAATGATAGGTATATGTTCTCTTTCTATGGGAAAAAGCAAATAGCCTTTATCTCAAATTAAAGGCACAGCTATTTTATGCCATTTGTTACCAACTTAATGATAACATGTAACACTGAATGGTTATAGATTTATTTTATATAGATTTTTCTCTTTATAAGTTATTCTCTTACTCTTTCTAACATATATACAATATACATATATTTATATATACCCCTGATAAATCTTGTTTTAAAGGTAAAACATTAACTCCTTTCAGCTTTAGGGTAAATATTTTCACAACTCCACTAGAGAAAAAGTGGACCTTACCAGTACCTTTTAGCATTATATCATTGGTGTGCAATTAATTCAGATTTATGTTTGTTATGGTTCTTAGTATTTAGATATTTATATCATGTCAGTAGAAAATCTTAAAACTCATAAACCAACAATAATAGTTAACACTTTATTCTGCCATCATAGTTAAAGCAGAAACCTTTGAGACAAGCCTACTGGTATGATATAAAGGGAATACTGCAGAGATACAACAGTCTCTGTTTATAAGATATGTACTCACATGAAAGATTTTTATATCATATCATCTCAAAGATGAAAGATCATCTGAAGTTATGATTGCTCTTTGAAACAGAATGGTTGTACTGATTTCTCTTTAAACACCCATGATACATGGGTTTGCCTGTGTTCAGACATAAACTCACTACAAACAGTTCCCTGTTTCCAGCAATACTTCTTCCGGGTGGGCAATTAGTATGCAATAAGGAATTAACCTTTATTAATGCCTCTCCACTGATAGTATAGCCCTGTTCTTACTCCAAGCTGGACAGGAGGGAAGGCCTCCATGACACCATCTGGTGTTTATTTTTTTTACTGCTTACTTATATGACAAAGTTGTTCATTCTACCTTTTACAGTTCTTTAAATCCTAATGGCATAGATTGAGACACAGCACTACTGTTTTACGAGACATCTACTGTATCTACTTTGTTGGGATAAATACCCAGTAACTGCTGTCATAGCAAGAGGACCAGCGCAGGTACTACTATTCACAGTGTTGCGTGTGTGTGTGTGTGTGTGTGTGTGTGTGTGTGTGTGTTACATTTTTCCATTTTTGCATTATTTTAATCTACAGAGTAAATTATTTTATATACACTGGAACCAGTTAATGCCCTTAAACAATGTGTAGTTGTTTCATAAAGCAGGAAAGACAATGCAGGGGGAGACAGGTGCCCAAAGCACAGTCACAAAGGCTCAGAAGGTCTGGATGCCACTACGAGTCAATGCTGGAGATCACTTCTAAAACAATGTTCAAGAGGAATGCTTAAATTTTGGAGAAAATATCACTCCCTCCCGTGCCCAACCCCCTCCCCCTCTTTTAATAATCTTTTCAATTTGCTATCAAAAGTCCTGGCTCTTCATATGTACTTTAAACTATAAATAAACACTGCATAGTTCTCTTTTGTTTGCTTTTCTGTTGTGTGTTTTGAAAAATTATTGCAGTACAATAACTCCTGTTTGGAATTCAGTAGGGAGCAAAGAGCACAGGAGTGTGGGCCGTCCGAATGGGTCCAGGGGCTGGCCGCAGGAGTGCTGGCGGAAGTGCAGAGGTCTGGAACAGGGTTGCTGCGGGGGCAGTTCGGAGACTGAAGGGAGAATTCACAGCCACAGCAGCAGCTGCAGCTGCAGCTGCCAATGGGTTTGGAAGAATTCTGGGAGCCAATGGCTTTGAAGGTTCTTTTGAAAATACTAGTTTTACCTGAAAAGAAAAAATAAAATAAATAAATAAAAGATGAGGACACAAGGTTTTAAATTTTTACTTAGTATTCAAACTGATAGGCAGGTTGAAAAATATGTCAACAGCTGTAAACACAAGGTCATACTTTTGTATTGTACAAAGAAAATAGAAAGTATAGAGAATTTTCTCTTTGGAAGAGACAGAATGTAAATACAATGATCTACAAAGAATGTTCAAAATTATTCTTGTAGGGGCAAATATTCATTGTGAAAAAGCATAGGAAACTTTCATACCACTCTTTACATGTGCAGTCACTATTAAGAAGCAGATAATTTTAGAGAGACTCGTTACTATCTGTGAAATCAGACTGTCCAACTATGTAAACTGGGGGGTACAAGCATGTAGCTTCCTGTAGTATGATGCACTGCTCGAAAAATTCATCTTCAATGGAAAAGAAAACTTATTTTCAAAAATTTCCAAATTTTGACATGTTCCTCTTTTTCTTTGAGCAAATGGCTATAATGTTCTCTCAGTCTTATTCTACAAAACTAGCTCATCCTCTGCCTACAAGCCTTAACATTAGCAAGATATCTGTTCTCACTGGAGAGAATTTTCCTACTTAAAGAAACAGTAACACACTGATAATTAAAAAGGTAAGTTTAGAGTCTTGATAGTAACAATTTACTTGACTGTCAAAGCTGGAGAGAGAGACAGAGAGAGGGAGGGAAGAAGGAAGAGAGGGAAGGAGAGATGGAGGGAGGGAAGGAGACAGAGAACACATTCAAGGCAGTGACTAGTGGCACTGAAATATCAGCTCTGCACAAGAAATCACCATTTTCCACTGCAGCTAAAATTGTTTTTGTAGAAATGATTAAAGTCACTTTGTTTTCATAAAATGAGGAATCCTACTAAAGTTAATTGGGTTAACATACAGTGGAGTCTCATAGTAGATGACTAGAATTTTATTATAACTGTATTTTCATATGTTAGCTGTACACACTAGCAGCAGTTATTAATAAGATCTATCTGAAGGAAATATGCTTCACAGAGTATAGCGTGGTGTATGCTATAGAGCGACTATTCCTACTGTTTCACGGGGAGCTGGGTCTCTATGAGGGCAGTGGTGACCCTGCAGAAGAAAAGTGTATGTCCCTCAAAGCTATCATACAGGGTCAGAAGCTTTCCTAGACTGTCTGTTGATCTCTACCAAACATCCAGGTCAGGATATTACACTGCTATGCTTTCTGAGCTACCCAATGCCTTTAGCATAATGGGGAGAGGCATTTCTCAGGATGATTTCCAAAGGTTTTACGTAGTATCCTTACATGAATAATTAAATTAAAACAGCCGTATACTGAAATTGTACATTAGATTTGTTTTTTTTTTCTGGATTTTTTTTCCTTTTTTTTTCAAGACAGGGTCTTATTCTATAGTTCAATCTGACCTTGATTTTACTATGTAGCCCAAACTAGACTCGAACCTGAGGCATTCCTCTTGCCACAGCCTCCCTCCCAGTGCTGGGATTACAGTGGTGTGCCACCACACCCGGTCTGGAATTGTATTTTAAAACTTCAAAAGTATTGATACTATCAATAACACTAACACTTTGTCTCTTAAATATATTATAAAGGCAATTCAAGAATTTGTTTTCTCAGACCTTCTTTAAATGTTCACTAATGGCATGACCAGTTTCAATGAAATTATTCACTAGGCTCAAGATGTGGCTTTTTTTCTTCCACTATGCTCTGTGATAAAACAGAAGTCAACTCAAAGAGATAGAACATTAGATTTTTGTTAAACATGGCAAAACACTGAAACACATTATGAGATGAATAATCCCTTCATGGAATAGAGGCGGGACTCAAAAATGAGTTGGAATTCTTAGGGACATTCTATTTATTACATGTAGGAACCCCCCTCCTCCCCATACGCATATACCAAAACAAAAAACAAGTTCAGTAGGCTGTGAGTCATTGAAGACAGCATATTATGTCCGGGCAAACCAGAAGGACACTCACCCCCAGTGGATGCGCTGCTTTCTGTAGTTTGTTGTAGGGACTGTATTTAGGTTTGGGGGGTTTCCCAGCAGCTCTGTCTTTGTGCCTTCTGCTGCTAATGTGCTATTAAAAGCAATTAAAAATGACAGTTTTAAAAACTCATCCCCCAAATTATCTAAAATACTATTTAACTTAGAAAAAGATAGTAATTATTTTATGCAAGTTGCAGAAAGACAAAAATAAAAGAACACGCACTTCTGCCCTTGGATTCTGGTGCCTGGAGGATCTATTTTTATGCTGTCCACTTAAGTGTATTTTTATCAGATAAAAGGATCTTTTGCTCCAGCTCTTTTGCCTTATGATTGCACACATCTCCATTTTTAGAAGTGTTTACAAAGGAAAGAAATGTCTAAAGGAATTTTATGTGCAAATAAACAAAGATGCCCAGGCAGGCATGGTTTTATTTCCATACTACATTTGTATATCCAAATGTCAACCTCTTCAATTCTAAAGGTAAATAACTAAGGTACATAAAATCAGCAAACTATAATACATATGCATATAAAATATAACATAGTATAAGAGCTGGCATTTTAGTTGTAAATGTACAAATGATCTCTTCAGATGCTTATTCAACTCTGAACACACATGAATGCAATATGATTAGGCATATCTTTAGCAGGTGGCCACAGAAATATAGTATAGCACCATAAGACAAATTATAGACAACAAAAAAATGGCATAAGACAAAGTGATCTGTGATGTGCAATATCTAAAAGATAAAAATATAACACTGTGAATTGATCTCTTAATATCAATATTTTTGAGTAAGAAACCTTGCAAAGAAAACATCTGATAATCTTCACCTTCCCAATATTTACATATAATAGTGAAAACTCATTACCAACAATTTACAAACTGTCCTAGAAGCCACTGCATTTTAGTTATTGCCCCAGAAAGTGAAATATTAATACATATACAAAAACACAAAATAGAAGATAAATGTGTAGGAGAATGCATGGATGGATGAATGGATGAGGGAAAAAGTCAGAAATTAAAAGAAAGAATAAAAGCACAAATGTTTTGGTTATAATAGTGTCCCTAATTTTTTCTCTCATTCTCACACTGGTGTTACCTACCTGTTTAAGTTGTGTTTCCGAGTTCACATGCACATCACAGATTTCACAGTGAAATGTTTTGTTCTGCAGGCCCGTGTTTCCCTTGTTGACAGGTCCTTTGCCTTTTACTCCTGCCCGAGGAAAAGCTTTGATAGTCCCACTTCCATTTCGTGCTTCTAACATTGTTTTGTGCTTAGTACCTGTAGGAATATAAAAAATATAAAATAAAATGAAATGAAACAAAATAAAGAGGAGTCTCTGCTAATATATACCTTTAAGAAACAGTGTAACAAACTTTGAGGCCTTGAAGCACTGTTATTCTAGAGATTATGGCTGAAGTGTGTTCACAGAACAGACTGTAACAATACCCTCTTGTTATCTAACATTTTAAATTATTCATTTGAAAAAATATTCCCAGTTACAAGTAAGAATTATCAATATAGTAACTAAAATTTGACAACCTGGAGGTAAAAACAAATAGGTGCTCCTTTGTTTCATTTCCTCTTGATGACAATAAGACCTAAATAGTAGGTGATGAGGAAAAGTGATTTACTTGCTAAAGACAGAGCTCAGATGATGTGTAACAAATGCAATCAGTTTAAATCTGGGGTATTTACAGAAGTGGTACATGTTGTGTTCCAGTTTTCTAAACAGAATACAAGAAAACTTTTTAGTGTATGTGTTTTAGGTTCAAAGAAGTAGAGTAATAGTCAAAGAGATCTTAATGACTGAAAACCCAGTCACATGAGGACAGTAGAGCCCACATAGCTAGGCGATGTCACTGTAACTGCAAACAAGTGTCAGAGAAGAGGAGGGTGGACTCACAGGCCAAGTGGAAACCCTACAAATCAGCACGCATCCTTTTAGTAAACCATTAACATACTCAGGCTGCTATCCATCATTACTATAACTCCACTTATCAACCTTAAATGTAACTTTTGAGATCACCATAATTATACATAGTTCATGAAAGCAATTTTTCCTCAAAATTTACTTAAATTTTCTTTTTTCTTTAAGTTGATAAGTACTTTTTTATTTTCCTTACTTAGTGATTTTTAAATTCTCATTTAGCAATTTCAGATTCTTATTTATATTTTTTGTATTGTTGGCTAGTTCTGAAAATATTTGAAAAAAATCCTTTATTTGTGAACTATGAGTCAGTCTTCTAGAACCAGAATGTTAATGAAGAAACCATCCTGGGG